TTCATCGTTTATAAATTTTATGTAATCTGTGCTTTTAATTCGTTTTTTTTTTTAATTTTTTTAATTTGTAGCGCGTCTATTATTTGTCGCTGGAGTATTATATGGGGCGTTCGCTGCAGAACACGATGATCAATTTGGGCATTCAAAGCGAATGCGAAGAGGCCATGTATCAGCTAGGTTTAGATATTGAAAATCTTGAAGAATTGGAAGAAGACGCCGGCTTGGGCAACGGAGGCTTGGGTCGGTTGGCTGCTTGTTTCCTTGATTCCATGGCTACGTTAGGATTGGCTGCTTACGGGTATGGAATTCGTTACGAATACGGCATATTTGCACAGAAAATTCGTAATGGTGAACAAGTTGAAGAGCCTGATGATTGGCTACGTTTTGGTAATCCCTGGGAGAAAGCACGCCCCGAATATATGTTACCGGTGAAGTTTTATGGTCGAGTGATTGACACGGCAGAAGGTAAAAAATGGGTCGACGCTCAGGTGATTTATGCCATGCCATACGATAATCCAATACCCGGCTACGATAACAATGTCGTCAACACTTTACGTCTATGGTCTGCCAAATCACCCATTGATTTTAATTTGAAATTTTGTAAGTAAGAAGAGGGGCGCTATAATAAATTAATAATAATAGATATTGTGTTCTTATTCCTTATAGTCAATGATGGCGACTACATTCAAGCGGTATTGGATCGTAATTTGGCTGAAAATATTTCGCGAGTCTTATACCCCAATGATAACTTCTTCGAGGGCAAAGAATTACGCTTGAAACAGGAATATTTTATGGTGGCGGCTACTTTACAAGACATCATTAGGCGGTATAAGGCATCAAAATTTGGTTGTCGGGATGCGGTACGCACTGATTTTGAACAATTCCCTAGTAAGGTGGCCATTCAATTGAATGATACGCATCCCTCGTTAGCCATACCAGAGCTGATGCGCATCTTGGTAGACGAAGAGCATTTGGATTGGAACAAAGCTTGGAATATAACCGTTCGCACTTGTGCTTATACCAATCATACGATTCTTCCTGAGGCTTTGGAACGTTGGCCCGTTTCCATGTTGGAAGCGATTTTACCACGTCACTTGCAAATTATTTATCATATTAATTTCTTACATTTGGAGAATGTAAAGAAATTGTATCCAAATGACTTGGACCGTTTGCGACGCATGTCATTGGTTGAAGAGGACGGTGAGAAGCGTATTAATATGGCTCATCTGTCAATTGTGGGTTCGCATGCTGTAAACGGTGTGGCGGCCATACATTCACAAATTCTCAAAGATGATTTGTTTCATTTATTCTACGAAATGGAACCGCATAAGTTCCAAAACAAAACAAATGGCATTACACCACGACGTTGGCTATTGCTTTGCAATCCTGGCCTATCTGATTTGATTTGCGAAAAAATCGGTAACGAATGGCCTGTGCATTTGGATCAATTGTTAGCCTTGAAAAAATGGGCCAAAGATTCGAATTTTCATAGGAACCTGGCCCGCGTTAAACAAGAGAACAAATTAAAATTAGCGCAAATTTTAGAAAAAGACTATGGCGTAAAAGTCAATCCCGCTTCCCTGTTTGATATACAAGTCAAACGTATTCATGAATATAAGCGTCAGTTACTGAACTGCTTGCATATCATAACGCTATACAATCGCATTAAAAAAGATCCTACCGCCAAATTTATACCACGTACGATAATGATTGGCGGCAAGGCGGCACCCGGGTACTATATAGCGAAACAAATCATTAAATTAATTTGTGCGGTGGCCAACGTAATCAATAATGATCCCATTGTTGGCGATAAATTGAAAGTGATTTTCTTAGAGAATTATCGAGTGTCGTTAGCCGAAAAAATTATGCCGGCTGCCGATCTATCTGAACAAATTTCAACGGCAGGCCTGAAGCTTCCGGTACTGGAAATATGAAATTTATGTTGAATGGTGCTCTCACAATCGGAACCTTGGACGGTGCCAATGTCGAAATGGCCGAAGAGATGGGCCGTGAAAATATATTTATTTTCGGTATGACTGTAGAAGAAGTGGAAGCTTTAAAGAAGAAAGGTTACAACGCCTATGAATACTACAATAAAAATCCTGAAACTAAACAATGTGTCGATCAAATTGCTGGCGGCTTCTTTAGCCCGGCAAATCCCAATGAATTTACAAATATCGCTGACATATTATTGAAATACGATCATTATTTACTTTTGGCCGATTTCGAATCGTATATTAAGGCACAAGATTTAGTTTCGCAAACTTATGAGGTATTTCCTTATTATATACAGGCGCCGGCCGCTTAACACGATTAACTCGTACCGTGCTTGTATCGAAACCGTACTGCAAGAAAGTTTTTCTATTTTTTTTTTATTTAACACTAGATTTACCGACGTTATCTATATACTTTATTTTAATCGAAACCCGCCAGTTTGACGGGTAAATTTGGTGCATCGTTGCAGTTGCGCAAATAAAGATAGGAAGCTGAAATTTGTCGCAAATATTTCCTAATCAATTGGAAATGGGCATGGTCTGTTTATATATGCCCTTACATTGCAGAAAAAACTAAAACAACCGCAAAAAACACCGACAATTTTTTTAAGCTTTCATCTATAACTGTCAATCCCCTGAATATATAACTTCGAAAAACTCTTAGCACTTTCTCCATTCAGGTTCAATTAAATTAGGAATGAATTTTTTCATACTTTCGTGTATAAGCTTCGATCTCGTAGAAACATTTCCGATATGGATCAGTGTCGCGTTCAATCCAATAATATTTCCGATCGGCCTAGCCCATCCGCAATTATTAATACTAGAATCTAGGCCTTTGTGCTTTACAATATATTGGAAATAAGTTGGTATGAAAATTTTATCGTTAACTGTGGACATACTAATAAACCGATGGTGACCCTTTTTGTAGATTTGGGTATCACTTTTTTTTTACAAGATCGAAACGATGAAAATTTTAGAAAAAAAAATTTTCGACGTGTTTCAAGGTTGATTTAATTTTCTCTACACTGTGGATGCGTATGTGAACAGATCATATCCGTTTTTTAACTACTTATTCTTAACCGGTCAGGGAATGTTTGCGCTAAATTTCAGTTCTGCAACTGCAACGATTCACAAAATTCACACGTGAAATTGATGGGTGTCTGTGAAAGTTGATATGCCACATCCACAAATACCAAAGTGGGCGTGTCTCAGAAAAAAAGTGTAAGAGTAAGAGACATGCATATTAACTGCATTAAATTGAAAATTTAAAAAACCAACGGATAATATTTAAAGATATCTTGCTTGAGTTTGTGATAAAGCCAGTGTTAGACTGAAATGTCATAAAATTTAAACTGAGATATAATATAGATCGAAAAATATGCGTGCCGTGTCTTTTCGAAACCGCGCTTTACAAGTACCGTGTTAAGCGATCAAGTGATGCCTTAAGATTTACAAGAGCTTTATTAACCATAATCTACAACTATTTCAGAATCAAGCTAAATGGCTCGAGATGGTTGTGAATAATATCGCATCTTGTGGTAAATTCTCTTCAGATCGAACTATTGCTGAGTATGCCCGTGAAATATGGGGCATTGAGCCCAGCTGGGAAAAATTGCCAGCTCCTGAAGCCACACCCTTACCAATAAACTAAAGAAAAAAAAAAAAAAACTTATAAATAATTGATATAATTATATAAATTATATAAATATTGCGCTCAATGTGCAAAATCAGAAAACAAAATGTAAACGTGTTCTTTACTTACCACCGATTTTATTCAAATATGCTCACATTTGCTTAGATTCTATATACCTCACTTGCAATTCAAAGCTCAGGAATCCATTTATTAAAGCGAAATAAAAAAAAAAGAATGCTATACAATATTATTGTTGTTGCTCTCTACTTTAGTATATTTAAAATTTATTAAAAATGACTTAATCGAACAATTGGAAATCGTTGTCAATATGTATGTAATAACGACAGCTATTATTAAAAACTACAAACATTTATAAAATAAATTAAACTCTATATGAAGATAACATTCAACGGCTAATGCATGTAAAAATATATGAAAATCATCTAAATGAGAAATATATACGAAAAGAAATTATATTTCTTTAGTTTCAATGACATTCTTCTTCTTATTAAAATTGAAATAAAAATTAAATTAATTAGTCGTAAGTATACAAGTTGCTCTATTGCTTGCATAGTCCCCGATACGGTTGAGTAGAATTTTGTGCAGTAGTGTATCGGGAGTCATATCTATTTTTACCTCTTCCATGATGTTAACAAAGAAATTTAATAATAATAATAATAATAATAATATATTTAATCTATATTAGACAGGAAGGATTTAAGTTCCTATCGTAAGTTTCTCATTGAGGAGGGATGAGCCAAAATTAGGGAATGGAAGAATGGATTCAATCGATCTGTTTTTATACGTGAACCGATTTCAGATGCTTTGTGAATTGGTATGAATTGTGACGTGGCTCAATTTTGTCCTAAACAAATTTGTTGCTCTGCTGTCGCAAGTTCTTTTTTTCTCTCTATTATTTATGATATTTTTAAGGGGCAATTAATCTGTTTGTACTGATACTTCCAGGACATGACCCTTACTGCTGAGTTGTAGTATCATTTGTAGTATTATTTTTGCGTAATAATAGATCTAATTTTACGATAAAAAATGGCGTTTTTGTTGTTGGGCAATGAAGAATATATTCCTTGGAATTTCAATAAATCCGTAATCCATGCTCAGGTTTTCCAAATAAAGCTAGCGGGGAGGTAAATTAATGTATAAGATGCGATTAGATTTTATTATTGTTTTGTATTTTTCCGTTTCGGTCGTATACACATTCATAAACGTAAAAATATGTTAATGTGCATTTGTATATATATATATATATATATATATATATATATATATAAGTAGTAGGGATGTCACAGAGTTTGTATTGATTTGTTTTCATTTGTTTTTTATGATTCTTGTCATTTCTACTTCAATTATGTTAATCGAAAGACGATGGTCATTCTAGATATTCCCACCAATCCTTTTCATAGCCCTCATGCACATGATCCAATAGAACATTACGACGTTTCTCGCAATATCGATATTTATCTTGAACTTTTTGCTTGATATCGGCCAAGTTCTCTGACGTTATGTCACGTTCCAAATATTCGGATAATTTCTCGGTTGCAGATTCTAAATCCTTTTGATTATCCTCAAATATCATCGATTGATTGTTCTTCTTTAAATAATAAGCAAACACATAAGTGTACATAAGAGTCTGACGGCATTGGCATAATATATCTACGGCTTTTTTTAAAAATTGCACTTCAATCCATGACATATTGTGCTGTTGCATTTCCTCCATTTTATGTTTGACCGAAGCGTATAATTTATTTTCAAATTTTAACGATTGCATATGATTCATGTAACGGTTATAGTAATGGAGATACCTTGACAACGATGAACGTAGTTTCTCTTGTGCACCTCTAGCTGCTTTGGCTTCGTCTTCGTCGTATCTATTGCAATTGTACCACGATGAACCGTGCGGTTCCCACGAGCCCAAGCATACCCAACAAAAATCATGTTTACAATTTTGATTTTTACACACCATATGATTGCAGCCGCCGTCCTTTTCGATTGTTACATTGCATTTGGGACATTCCTTGGTATTGGCCGCTATCCAATTACTAGTCTCGGAATCGTCATCACATTTTTTAATCCACTTCTTTAACCAAAGGCATTTAACAGGATCGTGCCAATTTTCGCCGCAAACGAAACAAAACTCGTGGCCGCAGTTGCAGCGCACTGGACGCGGTTCGACGTGAGCAACTTTAATGGCGTAAGTGCAATCAACGGACGGACACCAGCGCAACAATTGATTGCATTCGACAAAGCTATTGGTAATCAATTGCTGATACTTTATACGAACACGGGGATCGTGTACCAATTTAGTAACAGTGACGTCATCGACTAAAATATCACATCCGTGTGCGGCACACGATATCGACTGACCTAATCCTTCGGTAATTATTTTCGTTGTTAGATACTCGCACCAACAGGTCAAACAAAATCGATGACCGCACTCTAAACCAGTCATTGAGTCCGCGGACAAATGGGAGAAACAAATTTTACATTCTTCAGCCGTATGATTATTGGAATCCTTTTGCCGATTGATATTAGACGGCTTTTTATTGAATGGATTTATGACATGAGCACGTTTAAAAAACTCCTCCATATTACTATCAAAATATTTCTCCAAAAGTGTTTCTTTATCCCATTTAAAGTGATTCAATAATATACGTGTTATGGTCGACGATAACTTTAGAACGTTATTAACTTCATCGATGGTCTCACGCTGGTGTTGTACGATTTCTTCTGTCGTCAAAACCTCATATTGATATTCTTCCGCTTCGGTCTGGCATTCGTGCGACGACGGCATATCAACTTCCAATGCAAAATCATCATCATTATCGTCACCCGATGACACGTTACCTGAATCCACATTATCCATTGCAAAAGAATCTTCGTCGGAATCCATTAATACGCGAATATCAAATTAGGTTAAAGTTTGTCAGAAGTCAACAACGTTCGACCAAGGAAAATGTCCTGCAAAATAATACAAAACTGTTTTCTTCGATTACTCAATGAAAATCAAAATTCTGATGATAAATTTTTACGTTGGTATAATATGTGGCGATTAAGTTACTAATGATAGTCGATTCGCTTGGAAAATGAAAGCTTACTCCCGTCGTTTTCTGCCAAGATTGGGGAACGCAATTAAATCCTGGCCAATATTGTACACATACCCAGAAAAAACTTTAATGTCATGTCATGTAGAAAAAAACATTTACATGCACTGCAAAACACATTCGCTATAGCCACAAAATCCAAGGCTACTTGAAAATTTCGTTTCATAGATACAAATATCAAATCAATATTTTTACACCCTACACCACATATAGTTCAAGGCTATATCAAGTTTGCACATGTGTATGCAACACTCAGAAGGAGTTGAGATAGATCAGCATTTTATTACATCGTTTGATTTGGAATCACTTTTTGCATCGACTCAACCTTGGCTGTCCGTCTGTCTGTCTATCTTGTTTTCTAATAGTCAAACGCAATTTTTGGTATATTTCGATGAAATTTGGTACTCCGAGATGTTTTGACCCCAATCGCATCATTTTCTCGAGCATGTGCCTTGCGCCTTTCAAAAGTGGATAACTGCAAGTGATGCATTGCGTTTAAAAGTGGATCGTGCCTCACATCTTACTTGTTTTATATAATTTACGCAATCTTTCTTTTAAAAGAATTTCTATTCGCTTGAGGCATTTTGTCTAGTGATCACATCACCCCACCTTACATAGACGTTACAATACATTTAATTAACATGTGAACAGGACCGCGGCCCGCCATAAAATATCCTATATCAGACTTCGATCCGAACCACTATCAATAGCCCTACCGCTTTTGCGAAAACACGTCGGTGCACCAAATTTCATCAAGAATGAGTGAGTGTGCAGACAGACAGACAAGCTTAAATCGATTCAGAAAGTGAGTCTGGATCGATCAGTATATTAAAATATGAGCCTATCTCAAGTCTTTCTGGATATCTCACTGGCACAATTGGCCATTGAGTTGCAACTGGCAGTGTGTAAGATCGAATAATTTTTTTTCTGTTGCGTTCGAACATGCCTCTTACCTTTAGCTGGTTAATACGAGAGTAAGTTTGCCTAAGCTTTGATAACATTACCGCATTTTAGATCCAAGGAAAGGCTCCAATTTATTTGATGATGAAGCGATTTATATTGATGGCTTCTTCGCATTTAAGACTCAGAAAATCCACGAACGATTGTTGAGCAAGAACGATGCATCCAGAACGTGTTGTATGCTTGGTGCCATTGCACTGTTCCTTCTCGAAATGGTGTTCACCATCGCAACAGGATAACCCAATTTCTTTCAATTCAGTAGTTTCAACAAGACGATGTGTCACACCTTATACAGTGAATGACGCAGTGGATTACACAATTTAATGCGAAAGGATTATGAGCGATTTCACCAAAGGGGTACATACAACACGGCAGCAAAGCCGTGAAGACCACTTACCTAATACGCTATGCGTTTAGCAAACCGCTTTAGCGAAATCTAATTCTTCAAAATTCTGATAAATCTTATAATATTAATCTTATTATGTAGATACTCCCTTTTAAGATTCGTATATATCCTCCTGCATAATATTAAATTCTAAGGCTAAAGCCTTAAAGCTGTAGAGTAGCTGAGCCTATCGACTTTTTTTAAAGCTCTATCGCATTTGAATCCAAGACCCAAGACCTTTGAGTTTGTTAGTCGAAACTCTTTACCTAGTCGGCCACCCACCTTAATTTTCAAGGTCATGGCTTAAATAATTAAAAACTCCTTTTAACGTTTATACTTTATTTTATTTTGACCACATTTTCATATACATTCATATATATATTTCATACATACATACATACATACATACATACTGTATCTACTAAAGCAATTAATAATTAAAATGATACCATAATGATTTCGAATACATGTTTAAATTTAATGCAATTGAACATTCATTTCAATGAAAAATGAAAAAAAAAATAAACATTTTTTCATTTTTGCTCAATCAATTAATCGAACAATGCAATGCAAATAAATAAAGCTAATAAATTGTGCGTAATGCAATACAATTTAATGAGGATTTAGTTTAATCGTTCTACGATCAACCAAAGCACGTAGTGAATTGATTTTAAATACAAAAAATTCAAAATCTCGAATCGAAAAGTTTCAAAAATTTATGTTAATAATGATAATAAATCGAAATGGAAAAATACGTAAAAAGAGTTCAGCAAATAACTGCTTGTTGTTGTTATGTTAGGCCACAGTCATTGCATTACCGCCTTTAAAGTTAGCAAAATAGCCAGGATCACCAAAACGATCTACAAACTGAAAGTTAAAAATTAAAAATACAAAAAAAAATTCATTAAAAACATTTTAATTAATGAAACAAAAAAAAAAAAAAAAAAGAAAATAAAAAAACGACAGCAAACAAACAAACAAAATTCATATTAATTACAATAATTTTGTTAACGAACACGAGTGCAAGCAGCTTTAATAAATTTATTAATTAATTAATTAATTTACTAAAATGAGTTAATATATTAAAAAAATAACCAACAAAATAACGTTTTTTTGTTTTTTTTTTTTTGTTTTTAACAAATAACACTACAGCGAAAAACATTTAATTAAAGTACATACCTCTATTATATTTAGGGCAATTTAGAAATCAATGAATGAATAAAATAGTTCAGAGGTCATCTTTTTTTATTTTAAATATTAATTTTTTTATTTCATTTAGTTTTTATTTTTACAGTTAATTCAGTCAATTATTTACATTAGGGATCTTAAGGTTTATAGCGAACACACAAAACACTCTTCCGATATACGTTATTTATATTTTATTATTTTGTTGGTTATGAAACGATAGTTAAAAGCAAAGCAGAAACTTGAATTCGCTTTGCAGCGAAATTTCGCACACCTACTACTAACATGCTAAGGGCGATTTTTTTCTTGTTTTTTTTTTTG